TTTTCACGACGACCGACCTGCCCGTTAAGTCCTTTCCGCTCGTCGTGTAAACACACGCGGGAATAGTAATTCGAGACAGGGGCTCCGCGCAACGTGTCCTTTCACCTCCCGTCAGCCCTCCGTTCTGCCTTTCCTCCCACAACTAGTATAAAGTTGTCTCGAGTCGTGTATGATCGTCTTGTCTGCTTGTCGTTGTCGATCCACGATCGCGTCGAATTCGGGAAGGGAATGCTCTTTCAGGATGAGCTTGTTTTCTCGGATGTCAGCCGCAAATCGGAGCGTTGCTCTTTCACCTTGCATCCCATGCATTGTGTAGCTACTGTCAGACCTCATCTTGCTCTTGAAAAGAGCGACTCTATGCATCACAGGAAAGTCCCCAGAACCAGTGAAGTGTCTAGGGAAATTTTTTTATTCTTAAATTTTAATAATTTCAATTTCAACATTTACCAGAAACGTGATTTATTGATAATTTTCTTGAGCGATACATGTTAAAAAAATTTTTTTACTATAATGAAAATCATTTTCCTACAGATAATTGCACGATTTCTATTCCTAACTCTTTGCACAAAAATATATTATTACTTTATTTTCACCTTTATTATTTCTTGTTATATATCTTTTCTTCTTTTTTATCTTTTCTGTATTTTAATTTATTCCTTTAATAATATGACTTATATATTATATATTTTAAAGAAATGCGCTGACTCTCACTTACTGCCCTTTACTTATTGTTATTTATTTTATATTATTACTACTTGAAAAAAAGATTAATCGAAAAATGAGATATCAATAGTTTCTATACCGTGATATTGTCTTATGATATATTTTACTTACATTCTAGTAACACGGGATAATTCAATTAGAGTATATTTTTCAAAGTTAGAATAGATAATATAGAATCTGAAGGAAGCTTACGGTACTTTCGTCTAGGAAAATTATATATATATATTCTTAAACTTTAATCATTTCAATGTCTACTGGAAGCACGTTATTCATTGATCACTTACTTAAGCGCTACACGGTTCTAAACTTTTTTTTATTATTATGGAAAGTTATCCGATATGCGATAGACTTGAAACGTTCGCGTTACTTATGTCCAACGACCGCAGAACATCCTGCAAAATAACGGTTACATCGCGCTGGCATTACCCGCGAGATGATCGGCGTCGTCGCGACATTGTATTTTCTTCCTGTTCGTTTGCCCGCAAGCTTTTACCCAAACGTACGTAATTCGCATTTTCCTCGATTACGATCCAAGTCACGCGGAGAGAGAGAGAGAGAGAGAAAGAGGGAGGGAGCGCGTCCCCGTGATGTTGCTTTTTTCTTCCCCTCTCTTATTTCCCGCCGCTCCTCTTCTCGAGGATTCCGTAATAATTCCACACACGACGACACACGCCGCGTAGTGGCTCGCGTCATGTGACACGTGTCCAACGGGCGAAGGCGCATAATGCACGTGTCGCACGCACGATACGTAACGACTGCAGCGCTGCTGCACCGGCATGTGACGGCCGCCACCGCGTCATCTCGTGTATACCGGCGGGCGGCTGCACTTTCTCTTTTCGCGTCGATGATCGCGCGATCGAATCCTCAAACCACACCGTTATCTTTCCCTCCCGTGATGTCGCGCACTTGTGGCGAGGTAAAGTACCGAGGTACAGCATTAGCCGATCAAAGTTCCGAAATTTATGCTAGCTCTAAAACGAACCCTCGGAGGACAAGTGTCAAACTACATAAATCCAAGACGTATTAAAAAGCGTGTCGCAGGCAAAAGTGAGGTCGCGGTGAAAATATGACACGCACAAGTATGATATACACGGGTATACACGGAAAGAGAGAATAACAGTTTTGCAGCATTTCGAAGTTTAGCTTAGGGAAATAAATGTGTAAGACGCTCCAGCTGATTGCTAGAATATTGAATCTTTCATAGAATCGCTCATCGTGTTTGAGTCCTACAAAATGATTTTCAGATCTGGATCTAGCACAGTTTTTAGATACTTCAGCAAAACCATTTTTTCAGGTCTGCATCCAGCAAAACCATTTTTTCTGTGTGCAGAGATAGAACGTTCTAAATTCTTCTATGCTTTATATATTTGTTTGATAAAAATTTGATTGATTTTGTTCATCCTCCTCTCTCTCTCTCTCTCTCTCTCTCTCTCTCTCTCTCTCTCTCTCTCTCTTAAAGAAAATTTGTATTCAATTTTTAGTAACATAAAATTGACTTGAAATCGACCGTTACAATCGATCGTGAATAAAAGGAAATGCAACCTTTATAGCCTTTTAAACGAGGAAAATGGCCAGCGCTTGCGGTCCCTTTAATAGCCGCTATAGTGATACGGTTGAATAGTTACTAAAACGTCATGACAGTCGATTGAAATTGTTGCCAGAGTCATGCTCGTCGAAATTATTACGGAGTACTTCAGTACATCTCTTTCCGCGATCGTCTATGCCAGTAACTATAGTTATCTTATCCCGGAATTACCCTACACAGCTGGTGGTACAGCGATATAGCTATATGTGTATAGATTGGAAATGGCTAAGAGTAAACTCGATAGTTTCTATACGGAGACATACCTTCTTCTTACGTGGCTCAAGTTCATTCGTGTCACTACGTAGTGTCAGATCGATCCGAGAGAGGTTTATCGTCCCATAACTCATTTCTTCGTACGCTCGGCCTTCAAGAAATAGATATCTTCTTCGACGTAACACGTGACAAGAAGGTGAAAACGGACGGCTGTCTAAAATGCAAATTTCAAGAAACAGACATTATTATAACGTCGCGGATTGAGTTGGTTATTCGTCGAGTAAATCCCAGTGTTAGAGAATAATCTTGAGGTCAATCTGCCAAGTTTTCTGCGAAGTTTATTAGGAGCGATAAAGGCGGTAATGAAAGGAGCAATCTCTCTCTCTCTCTCTCTCTCTCTCTCTCTCTCTCTCTCTCTCTCTCGGATCTTACTCCGTGAATTCGGTTGTGCGAAGACGCGCGTGCCTATATATTCGAGTTATAGTATAGTTCTTCACGAGAGCACTCGAATTAGATCGGCACGCTGCAGTGCAAACTCCACTCCTGCGAGAGATATGGCTTCACAATGATATGGCTTAGAGGGTAACTGATCCCTCGGCTTAAAATGGAGTATCCCTTTTTGCGATATTAATGCCCGCCGTTATCGAACTCTCGCGGATTCCAAAATATAGATACACGTATCCCATGAAGCGTCCGTGCAATACATCCCTTTATTTAGATAGAAAAATAAAAATTGTTGCAGCAACAGAGAGATATAGTTTTATTTTTTGCAATTTAGGTTGGAATCGCCTAAAAATTTGTTTAGGTCTCTGTTGGACCAGAACTTCGTCCCGGATTAATCCCAAAGTAACATTCGGCACAATTTTTTCCCTTTTTTGTTTTGAGCACGCGACCTGTCGCTCACACTCTGCTCCGCATCGGTCTGGATGCAGCGAGATAATTGCAGTTCGCGCGAGTGCCTCTGTCGATTCAATCGGTTCGCGGGCGAGGAAGGGAGGTCGACGGGCGAGGAAATGGAAGGGGGGGAAGGGTTCCAAAAAATGGTATAAACAAAAATGGATTTTACTGCATACAGTTTTCACCTTTGAGATTCTGCGTGCTGTCGGAGATGAATGGATGAGTGTGTCGCATTCGCGCTTTGGTCTAGAAATTCAAAGACCCGAGATATCCAAGTAGAAACTTTAAGGACAATCGTTATTAGAGACCAGGGATACAGTCAACTTAGTTCAGTGTAGGTTTAGACGAATATCGCGAAATGAAGGAAAATTGGAAAGAGAATTAAATGACTGTTAAAGTAAAAGGGGAGGGAGGAAGGAAGGCGGAGAAAGAACATAAGAAAGGAACGATGAAAAGGAGATACAGGAAGGAAGGAAGGAAGGACGGACGTGCTGTCATGGCTGAAAAGAGAAAAGGTGCTGGAGATACAAAGAGCGCGAGGCGAAAAGAAGAGAGACGAATGGACGGAGGAGTAGAGAGGAATGTGCTGGGCGCGTGGATGAGAGGCGAAGAGAGGAAGAACGGATCGACGAAAGGGAGAGAGGAGAATCGAGGGTTGGTGGCGACCCAGACCCGGTCGATACGACCACTACCACCAACATCATCACCGCCACCTCTATACGACGAGTATGAGGCAAGACAGAGCGCGGAACTTGGTTCTTGCGCGAATGCACCGCATATAGCGAATCTTTTCATTTTTTTCCAACCTTACATGTCTCTCTTTCTCTCTCTCTCTCTCTCTCTCTTTCTTTCCCTCCTTCCTGTTGCCTATCATCTCTCGGTATTTTTTCACCTCTCGCGTTTTCAACGATCCGCCATTTTCAGAGGGAGCGTGCTCCTATAGTCCTATCTCTCTTCAGTGGGTGGATTTCCTCACGATGACTTTGGCACGTATACTTGCCAGAGATTATGAGATCTGCTTTCTCAAGATAAGCTCGGTCAAGTCTGGCTATTGTTTGAATTTCGTATCGTCTCCTGTAATTGTACAAAGAAAGAACGATTTTGCTGTATCGAAAAATTTAAATGTAAATCTGAAAATAATTTTGTTGAATTATATCAAAATAATTATGTAGGAGACTCAAACGTGTAACAATGAGCAATGCGCTGTAAAAAGTTTCGATCTTCTAACAGCTAGTTCGTGAGGCTCCTACATAATTAGGCTAACAAAATTATTTTCAGATCTACATCTGGCTAAATTTTTAGATACTACAACAAAACTACTTTTCCATGTAACATTGTGGCGTGTAATTATTCTGATAGGTGTGTCGATTGTACGAAATAAGGCAATTGAAGGAATTGCATCACGGGAGTTCAGGAAAATATAAAAAAGAAATTTTGGAATTCTTTAAAATTATTTTTCTATGCTTTTTATAAGATTTTTTTTATCTTATAATTTAGAAGGGAAAAGAAATGAACAATATTTATTACGATTATTATGATGTTATTTCAAACTACTAACGTCGCATTTTCTTTGTGTTTGCAGTTGTTCTCTTGGACACGACGACGGAGGAGAAACTCGATTGGACGAGATATCCTTTCGGGCCTCAAGCTAACACTCCTGGTGTAAGTAGATAAAAATTTCCATCGCATGTTATAGAAGACGTCGAACTTCTCAAAATCCTAGCGAAAAATCTATTTTTCTTTTCCTCTCTTCGGTACGAAGGAAAATTATTCATTCCGATAATTCGACTTTTTAAACGATACAAGCATCGAGAATCCGAAAGTAAGACTCGCCCTTCCTCGATGTGAGGGAAGAACGAAACAATTTCTTAAATATCGCGAATTTCCACGGAAATATTCGACGTGCCAACAGCAACACGGGGAAATTCCCGTCGACGTAGGAATTCCGCTCGCTCGCTCGCGCGCACGCTCGGCATCCTTTTCTGCGTGGCCAAAGGGAAATATTAAAAATGTCTCAAACATAAATTAATACTCTCTCGCGAGGTCGTTGCACGCGATTCAGGAGCGCTCTCTCTCTCTCTTTCTTCCAGCGATCGTAACAAAGGAACGCCTAGATGGAAAAAAATTCCAGGATCTCCCGACATTTTCTTCTCTCTTTCTCTCTCTCTCTGTATTTTTTTTTATTCTTCTCTCTCTCGGAGAGGAGAGATCTTTTGGAACTCGACTGGCCGGGTTCCGGTGGGTACCAGAAGCACTTTATAGTCTCGGTACGCACGCGGCACATACGTGGGCTCCCGCTGGCCGATGCGCTCTCTCGGCGCCATGTTTGTTTTTCAGTTGTTAAGCGCGCAGCGGGCCGCCAGACAGGTTTAAATCAGCCTCCACCTCTCTCTCCGTTTCTCCTCTTCTTCTTCCTCCTCCTCCTCCTCTTTCTCATCCTCTGCCGATTCTCTCCTGCAGCATCACTCCCGCCTCCTCCTCGTCCCCCTTCGCGCCCCACAGTCGGACCGCGTATGCACCGCACTCTCGGTTCGTGAGTCAGTCCAACCGGGTAACAAATTGCTTTTTGTTTGAACGGACAAATTAGTGATACAGCCGCGCCGGCAGAGGTGCCGGCCGAAAAGAAGACCGGGCCGGTGAAGGGAGAAGGAGGGACGCGCGGTGTGTGTTTATTTAAACATCGTAGGCACCGAGAATGCAGTTTCGCGCACGGAGGACATCCTCCTTCGTGACCCTACGTGGGTGTCGGCCACAGGATATCTCGCGTTCGAGCCTTCGGCTCGATCATGACGATAAACTTGGCGGCTTTGATTTTTTTTCGCGACTCGACAAACTCATCGGATATCTCCAAGCTTTATTGTCATTTTTATTCTATTTTCATTACACCCCTCCATTGTTTACTCTACGCTTATCTTTACTCGATACTTTAGTAACATTCACGCAGGGACGTCCAACGATTGGGATTGTTCAACGGAGAAGGCAATTTGTCTCTAAACGGATTTAATAACTCTTCGCGCTCGTCATCGAGATCCCACAAGCTTCTCGCCTCTCTCTTTCCGCAAAACTTGTTGTTCTTTATTTATTTTATTCAATTGTCAAAAATCCTTTTTTCTTTTTTTTTTGCCCTCGATCATCGAAAACGATCGAGAATGGTACACGCGTGCTCATTCTTCTTTTTTTCACTCCTTTCTCTCGCAACCGTCGATTGTTAGTATCGCAGCGCTAATCGGCCAGCGTAACACTCTGTTTGAAAAGGTTCTTTGAGACTGCTGTTGATTTTTCTGGGTGCTAAACGTTCGACGCGCCTGCTCCCTCCCCTCCTCCCTTTCCCCCCCCGAACGAAACAGACCGGGGAGGGATGGCTACGCCGGCGGACCACGCACGGGTGTCTGATCTTCTTTTTTTCTTTTTTTTTTTTTTTCGAGAATGACCCGAAAAAGAACTCTCTCACTACACGCTTCGTTCTCCGTGAACCACTCGAGTTCACTTTGCACCTCCTATTCCATCTCATCCGTCGGAAGTGCTACGTCCAAATACACGTCTCTCTCTCTCTCTCTCTCTCTCTCTCTCTCTCTCTCTCTC